TGTCTGATCCTGATTCCTGTTGACCGTCTCCTGCTCTGACTACTGGCTCATCCCTGACTATTCTTCTGCCTGATCCTCTGTACTGCGCTGTCCGTGAGTTACTGAACCCGGCTTGTGACCTTGACCATTCTCTGCCTGCTCCTTTGATACCTTGCTGCCCGCACGTTGCTGACTTGGCCCGTCTGACCACGCTAACTACTCTGCCATCCATCCATCCTGCACGGATCCAGCCGTACCTGCACATACCTCTGGCGGATCCCTCTATCACTAGCAGGTGTACTCAGGGGCCGCGACCTGGTTCCTGTCTGCTCCAAGTCCATCCCCACCATCAGGGGCCCTGGTGAATAGCAGACTGGGACTTAGACTCCGCGCCCTGGGGAATCCTGCCCTGAGGACCGCTAGAGGTACCACCAGCAGTCGTTACAGAACCCTACGGCCGGCCTGATCATTCCACCTCTCCAGCCCTGACTACGCCTGTGTTCCTGCACCTCCTAAGATTAGTGGAAGGTTAGTTTGTTTACTGTGCGTTTTATATATATATATATATATATATATATATATATATATCTGGGTGGCTAATAATACCTGTATAATACTATACCTGAGACCTGCGTTTCCCTGTGTCAGTCCGCACCTTTCTGGTCATTCCTTGATTCCTGACATCCTGCTTCACAACCACTAATGTACATTCAAAGAGTTAAATCCATATACACCCCGGGTGGCGGTAATATTTTTTGGGTGATTAGTGCATTCCAGTGACATAAATGTACAGTTTCCAGCCAACGGCAAGCTGCAATTGACCGATTGTGCTAAATAAACTGACTTTCTGCTTCACAACCACTATTGTACATTCAAAGAGTTAGATCCATTTACACGCCGGCTGGCGGTAATATTTTTTGGGTGATTAGTGCATTCCAGTGACAGAAACGTACAGTTTCCAGCCAACGGCAAGCTGCAATTGACCGATTGTGCTAAATAAACTGACTTTCTGCTTCACAACCACTATTGTACGTTCAAAGAGTTAGATCCATTTACACGCCGGCTGGCGGTAATATTTTTTGGGTGATTAGTGCATTCCAGTGACAGAAACGTACAGTTTCCAGCCAACGGCAAGCTGCAATTGACCGATTGTGCTAAATAAACTGACTTTCTGCTTCACAACCACTATTGTACGTTCAAAGAGTTAAATCCATATACACGCCGGGTGGCGGTAATATTTTTTGGGTGATTAGTGCATTCCAGTGACATAAACGTACAGTTTCCAGCCAACGGCAAGCTGCAATTGACCGATTGTGCTAAATAAACTGACTTTCTGCTTCACAACCACTATTGTACGTTCAAAGAGTTAGTTCCATTTACACGCCGGGTGGCGGTAATATTTTTTGGGTGATTAGTGCATTCCAGTGACAGAAACGTACAGTTTCCAGCCAACGGCAAGCTGCAATTGACCGATTGTGTACAATAAACTGACTTTCTGCTTCACAACCACTATTGTACGTTCAAAGAGTTAGATCCATTTAAACGTAGCCGTATGTCGACTATGTGGCCAGAAAGTCAAGCGTGGCCAGGGGGCCAATGTTGGGACTACAGCGTTGCGTCAGCATATGCAGCGTCGCCATTCGGTGGCCTGGGAAAACCGTGATAAAGATACGGCGGTTCTGCCTGCCCCAGCTCCCGCTCCATCACCCGCTCCGTTACTTGCTCCGTCACCCGACGTCAATCGCCCTCTATCAGCCAGTCAAGGCTCCAACACCTCTGCTGAGGGGAGTTGTCGCTCGTTGGCATCTTCCGCTCGTTCAGATGCTCCTTCTCCTGCTACTCCTCTTCACGGATTCCGTCAGCAGTCTTTCTTGGAATCCGTTTCCAAGAGACAACAGTTTGCGAGCACGCACCCGACGGTGCAGAAGCTGAACGTCCTCCTGTCCAAGTTGCTGGTGCTGCAGTCCCTCCCTTTCCAAGTGGTGGACTCAGCACCTTTCCGAGAAATGATGGCTTGTGCCGCGCCGCGGTGGAGAGTGCCAAGCCGGCATTTCTTTGCCAAAAAGGCAGTGCCAGCCCTGCATTCACATGTAGAAGAGATGGTGGGCCAGTCTTTGAGCATGTCGGTCTCTGCCAAAGTGCACGGCAGCGCCGACGTGTGGAGCTGTAACTACGGTCAGGGACAGTACATGTCATTTACGGCCCACTGGGTGAAAGTGGTGCCGACACAGCCGCACCAGCAACTTGGACAGGTCACGCCGCTTTTGCCTCCACGTTTGCACGTCCTTGGTCCAGCAAAGATGTCCGCCTCTACCACCTCTTCTTCCGCCGTGTCCTCAGCCGCCACCCCCGTGCCAAGTCCCATTACCCGACCGGCATATCACATGTGCAGGGCGCAACGGTGTCACGCTGTGCTGCACCTGGTATGCCTTGGCGAACGTAGTCACACAGGGGAGGAACTTCTCAGTGTAATGAACAGAGAAATCGACAGATGGCTGTCTCCGCGCAAACTGAAAATCGGAACCATGTTGACCGACAACGGAAAGAACATGGTGTCTGCTCTGCGTCAAGGAAGGTTGTGCCATGCGCCATGCATGGCTCACGTGTTCAATCTGGTTGTCAAGCGGTTCCTAAAATCCACCATCCCACTGCAAGACATCCTTAAAATGTCACGTAAACTTTGCATGCATTTCAGCCATTCCTACACCGCAAAGCACACCCTCCTTGAGCTGCAGCGGCAGAACGGAATTCCACAGCATCGCCTGATCTGCGACGTTGCAACAAGGTGGAATTCAACCATACATATGTTAGACCGCCTTTACGAACAGCGAAAGGCCATCACCGATTTCCTGATGTTACAAGCGGATAAAGGTACTCCCCTGTGTTAACTTAGATGTCAGCCATTGGCAGCTCATGCGTGACACCTGCCGCTTGCTCAGGCCCTTTGAGGAGGCCACGCTATTCGTGAGTCGGCAGGACTATGGGATGAACGACGTCATTCCTCTGTTGCACGTCCTGGAACAAATGCTGTTAATGGCTGGTCAGGGTGCGGTAGACGTGGCGCACAGATCTCAACCCCACATGACCCCTGTTGGGGCAGGACAGGAAGAAGAAGAGGAGGAGGTAGAGGAGGACATTGGTGCTCAGGAATTATTGAGTGAAATGGGTGGTTTTTCCACTCAGCGGACAGGAGTGGAGGAGCAGGAGCATCTGGTAGAGGAGGAGGAGTCAGAGGACCCAGACGCACCGTGGCAGTATGCTGTGGAGATGGAGGCAGGGAGTCCCTCGCATTCCTTGGCACAAATGGCCCATAGCATGCTCGGTTGCTTGCGTAGCGACAGCCGAATAATAACCATCAGACAGAGGGATGACTTTTGGCTGTCCACCTTGTTGGACCCTTGCTACCGTTCAAAAATGGTGGCCTTTTTCACACCTGCTGAGAGGGAGGCCAAAATAAAGTACTATAAAAACCACCTATGTAGTCATGCAGTATATAGCCCTATCGGCCACTTTCTGGCATCCAGTTGCTGTAGCCCCCATCACCACACTGTGCCACGGGCCCCTGTACCGCCTTCTCATACTGCTGCCAGATCCATCCTCTGCCATGTGCGTCTTTGTCGTCTGCTCACGCTGCTGACGGCTTCCGCTTTTTAACCTAGGCCTGTGTATGGCTTCCGAATACTGCTGCCTCCACCGCCACCCTGCGCCATGTGCCACTTTCAGGTCTCCTTACACTGTTGGTGGGTTCCATTTTGTGATAGGGTGCTGTATGGCCTTCCATTTGCTGCCTCCACCGCCACCCTGCGCCATGTGCCTCTGTCGTCTGCTCACGCTATGACGGCTTCCGCTTTTTAACCGAGGCCTGTGTTTGCTTGCTGCTGCTCCACCGCCACCCTGCGCCATGTGTCTCTGTCCTGCTCACGCTGCTTCCCAGCCTGTTTGGCTTCCGAATACTGCTGCATCCACCGTGCGCCATGTGTCTCTGTCGTCTGCTCACGCTGCTGACGGCTTCCGCTTTTTAACCTAGGCCTGTGTATGGCTTCCGAATACTGCTGCCTCCACCGCCACCCTGCGCCATGTGCTGTCGCTGCTCACGCTGCTGTCGGGCTTCCGCTTTTTAACCGCCTGTGTTTGGCTTCCGAAACTGCTGCCTCCAGCCACCCTGCGCCTGTGCCACTTTCAGGTCTCCTTACACTGTTGGTGGGTTCCATTTTGTGATAGGGTGCTGTATGGCCTTCCTGCCGCCACCGCCACCCTGCGCCATGTGTCTCTGTCGTCTGCTCACGCTGCTGACGGCTCCGCTTTTTAACCGAGGCCTGTGTTTGGCTTCCGAATACTGCTGCTCCACCGCCACCCTGCGCCTTTGCCACTTTCAGGTCTCCTTACACTGTTGGTGGGTTCCATTTTGTGATAGGGTGCTGTATGCCTTCCATTGCTGCTGCCTCCACCGCCACCCTGCGCCATGTGTCTCTGTCGTCTGTTCACGCTGCTGACGGCTTCCGCTTTTTAACCTAGGCCTGTGTTTGGCTTCCGAATACTGCTGCATCCACCGCCACCCTGCGCCATGTGTCTCTGTCGTCTGCTCACGCTGCTGACGGCTTCCGCTTTTTAACCTAGGCCTGTGTATGGCTTCCGAATACTGCTGCCTCCACCGCCACCCTGCGCCATGTGCCTCTTTCGTCTGCTCACGCTGCTGACGGCTTCCGCTTTTTAACCTAGGCCTGTGTATGGCTTCCGAATACTGCTGCCTCCACCGCCACCCTGCGCCATGTGCCACTTTCAGGTCTCCTTACACTGTTGGTGGGTTCCATTTTGTGATAGGGTGCTGTATGGCCTTCCATTGCTGCTGCCTCCACCGCCACCCTGCGCCATGTGCCTCTGTCGTCTGCTCACGCTGCTGACGGCTTCCGCTTTTTAACCGAGGCCTGTGTTTGGCTTCCGAATACTGCTGCATCCACCGCCACCCTGCGCCATGTGTCTCTGTCGTCTGCTCACGCTGCTGACGGCTTCCGCTTTTTAACCTAGGCCTGTGTATGGCCTTCAATTGAAGCTGCTTCTGCTCCGCCACTCTGCCATTGGACTCTTGATAGTCGTCTCCCCACGCTGCTGCTGGGGGGACTTTTTAACATAGGCCTCTGTATGGCCTTCAATTTTAGCTGCTTACGCTCTGCCACTCTGCCATGGGCCCCTGTACCGCCTCCTCATGCTGCTGCCTGGCCCGTAATCTGCCATGGGCCCCCGTACCGACTCCTCATGCTGCTGCCAGGCCCGTAATCTGTCATGGGCCCCTGTACCGCCTCCTCATGCTGCTGCCAGGTCCAGAGTGTGTCATGGGTCCCTGTACGGCTTCCCATTGCTGCTGTCTCCATCGCCACACTCTGCCATGTGCCACTTTCAGGTCTCCTCACACTGCTGGTGGGTTCCATTTTGTCATAGGGTGCTGTATGGCCTCCCATTGCTGCTGCCTCCACCGCCACACTGTGGCTCCACACTCTGGTTTTGGCCCCGTGACTGCCCAAATGAGTGAAGTGTGCGGTGATTCTAAGATCGACGGCACTCATCTGCATGTCATACTGACTGACAGTATTATTTCTCTTCCCCAGCAGACTCCAAGGGCATTTAAATTAAAGGTACAGTGTTCTGCACTAATATAAAGGCTCTCTGAAGCCTAGAAACACCCTTTTTATAAGTTAAATTCGCAGCGAATATATGGCAGGGTTGGCTGGATACACCTGGGCTTGCCCCTCCTTAATTGATAGCGGACCGACTTTTGCAGGTGTGACATTTTATATCAGGTGTGTGACTCCACTCCTCCCCTTAGGGGAGATCATGTGCATCCCCCATTTTTTCTGATGTCTCAGGTGAACCAGACTTTGTTGTGGTTATTTTTATTGTTTGAAGGCATGTTTTGGGCTGTGTTCCTTTCCCCCATTTATGTTTATATCTGGACGGAAAGGAATAAAAGGTAAAAAGGAAACAGTAAGGTATTGTCAAGAAGGCTTTGGATCCTTGTGGTCTTTGTTTTGTTTGATTACTATTTCTGTTATTCTGTCTATTACGGGGCCTGTGTATCCACATTATTCCATTTATATGTAATCCTGTTGTTGCAGTAATGTCATTGTGGATTCTGTAAGTACTGTTCCATTTTTTTTATTATCTTGACAATAAAGGTTGTTTGGATTTAAAAAAAACTTAGAACTCAACAGCCCCTTGAGCAAGGACCACGTGTATGCCAGGTAGTAGGCCTGGTAGCAGCAGCCAACCCTCAAACGGTACAGGAGAGGATCTGAGTGAGAACACCTGCACCCCTGGGCGGATAGGGGAAGGAACACTCTGGAGAGAAACCAGATTAGTCTAGTGACTGTTCATCCAGTTAAAGGGACAGGAACTGCATCCCTTGCTCAGGAAAACCACAAGATTGCGGGGTGGAGAGAATTTCATCTAGGGTCTGGGGTGGTACATCAAGGAGATACTGGCTAGCTCTCTAACAGAGACTGTGTTGCAGAGTGTGAATAGTTCCAGGAAGTTTGTCCTCAGTTATTGGTTGCCTTGGGCATCCTATACCCCTCTTACCCTATCCCAGTTCTAAATCCCCTCGATAAACAACAAAACCAATGCTCAAGGACTGATTTGTGACTCTGTACACAAGCTTGTGTGGAGAATGCTGATTGCTTGGCTGTGCAAGACTATAGAGAGATCCAATTCATCAGTAACCCCTAAAGGGGTAATGCTACATGAGCAAAGAGATGAAATTGATGGTTGTTATAGAGTTATTATGCAAATACTGTGACTCTACTTGCATATGGTAATATTGCATTATACTTCCTGTTTCCTGTTCTATGACTGACCTTGATGCAGTTCCAGTCAAAGAGATCTGCTTTCATGGACACATTCTAACCTGGGAGGGTTTGAAGGCTGATCCAGAAAAAATCAGAGCCATATTGGATACGCCGCAGCCAGCAAATGTGAAATCCCTGCAGCGCTTCATTGGAATTGTTACCTACCTAGCAAAATTCCTACCACACCTCTCAGAGTTCTGCGAGGCATTGAGAAGGCTTCTGGACAAGGACGCTGTTTGGCATTGGCTTCCTAAGCATGATAATGCAGTGCAGGACATCAAACGCTTGGCAACGGACACACTTGTCCTGAAGTACTATGACGTTACAAAACCTGTAACTATTCAAAGTGATGCAAGCAAAACTGGACTTGTTGGGTGTTGCCTATTGCAAGCTGGCCAGCCTATCGCTTTTGCTTCATGTTCAATGGCACTGACTCTTACCGAGCAAAACTACGCACAAATAGAAAAGGAATGTCTGAGTATAGTGTTTGCCTGCCAGCGCTTTCACCACTACCTCTATGGGCGCAACGAGATCACGGCAGAAACTGACCATAAACCTCTGATTTCTATTTTCAAGAAACCACTTTTGTGTGCACCCAAACGTCTACAGAGCATGTTGCTCACGTTACAAAACTATTGCCTAAATGTTGTCTATAAACCTGGTCCTAAAATGTACATTAGTGACACTCTTAGCAGAGCTACAGTAGCAGGTGATACACCTGAGTACGCACAACACACAGTTTGCAATGTTCAATGGGACCTGGATGTCCTGTCACAGATTAATCATTCAGACTATTTAAACGTCACGGACCAACAATTGCTTCAGATAAAACAGCACACTGAAACCGATGAGTTTGCAGGCTCTTAAATATGTTGTTCTGAATGGTTGGCCTGATTCCAAGTTGGAAGTGCCATTAGTTGTGAAAGAATATTGGACTTTCAGTGATGAAATCGGCATTCAAGATGGTATACTGTACAAGGGGCCAAGGGTCATCATTCCTAAATCTTTAAGATCGGAGATGCTGACTCGTATTCACATTGGCAGAGAAGCATGCTATAAGCAAGCACGTGATACCTTCTACTGGCCCAACATGCAGAACGAGATTAGAGACTTTGTTAGCTGTTGCTCGGCATGCAATGAATATGCGCAGGCACAACAGAAAAAACCTATGATGTCGCATGTGCTGCTCACCCGGCCTTGGCTAATTGTAAGCATGGACTTACTGAATTATGCTGGGCAGGATTTTCTACTAATTGTTGATCACTATTCCGACTTTTTGGAGATTGAGCTACTGCCTAACCTGTCTGCTGATACTACCATCAAGCGTTGTAAAGCACAGTTTGAACGTTATGGCCAGCCGGATAGAGTAATCTCAGATAATGGACCTCAATTTGCATGTGAGCAATTCAGACGGTTCTCTACAGATTGGGGATTTGAGCATGTTACCTCATCCCCGAGGCACCCGCAAGCCAATGGCAAAGCGGAATCGGCTGTCAAGATAGTGAAGAATCTTTGTAAGAAGGCCAAGTTTGATGGTACTGATCCACGGAAGGCCATTCTACATTGGAGGAACACCCCATCTGAAGGCATGGACAGTAGTCCTGCACAGCGCTGGATGTCTAGGAGACTGAAGACTTCATTGATTGGGCCAACAAATTACTTGATCCTTGTGTGGTTACAGGTGTCCCGGCAAAACTGCAGTGGAGGAAACAGATTGCCAAACTGTCATATGATGTGTCTGCTAAAGACTTTCCTGAACTAAGCATTGGAGAGCCAATCCATATGAAGCCGCTTCCAGGTGATAGGATCGGTCGCTGGAGACTGGGTTCCTGTGTTCAGAGGGTTGCTCCTCGATCATATCTTGTGGATGTAGAAGGCAATCAAGTGGACCTGCGAAGGGCAGAATGACTCACCGCACAAGCCTATGAGCATCCTGCATGTGATCATCATGAGGTGCTCAATGCCCCGAGTCCTACTGGACCATATATTCAAAGCAGAGAGAACTCTGCTGTCATATCGGGATACAATGAGGATGACATAATGCAGCCACATATCCCGTCAAGTTCTTCTCTGCCAAAAACACCAGCCAGGAAAGAGGGTAGCTTCTTATCAACACATTCTGGAGCTGAACGGATTTCTCCAGGCAAAATCCCTGTGGCCTTGCGTAGTGATCGAGTTTCAAGACCACCACATAGACTCAATCTGTAGTGTATCTACCAGTAACACAGTATGCCATGTTCAAGACTGTTCAGGATCTGTTTTAGCTTAATTGTTTCCAAGGTTTGAATTGAATGTAAAAAAGGGAGATGTTATAGAGTTATTATGCAAATACTGTGACTCTACTTGCATATGATAATATTGCATTGCCTTATACTTCCTGTTTCCTGTTCTATGCCTGACCTGGATGCAGTTCCATTGTTCAACATGATTCCTCACACCAGCAGCTTGTGTTGTCTTCATTCCTGTACATGAAACAATGGTCTTCTCTGAATTTGATCAGTTGCATGCCTATTTGGGATAAATCCTACCTGATCAATATGGAAGAAAAAATTTTCAGTAGATGAGACTGTTTAGGTAAAGTATCTAATCCAAGGACAAAAATGAATTATATTCTAGCTTACTATTCTTTGATGTGATAGCTGCATTTGTTTCCTTATATCTCCCTTGTGATCCTTGTTTAAAGTGCAACAGTATGCTCTTTGCATATGAAACTATAGATGATGCTGTAGTGATTTATTAGCATTTATGTGTTTATATATGCTTGTAGAATCTGCAAGTTGTTTTTTCTCTGTTCTCTCCAGTAATGCTGTTCTCACACATGTATGCTGTTCTCCTATGAAAGTAAAGCTGAACTCTACATTCTTCAAGTCTTCAGTGCCTCATCTTAACACATACTGTAAGCAACTGGTTTTGGGCCCAGGCACTAAACAGAATACTACAAGCTGAATAGTGCTGCATCCAAGCTCCTGAAAGATGATTTGCTCAGATGTGAGGTTTGCAGCTGCAAAGCTCAACAATACCAACTACCAGCTGTGGAAGTTCAAGCTGGAGATGCTGCTAAGCCAAGAAGACTTGTGGCAAGTACTGAATACAGACAGACCCACTAATGGATACACAGAGGAATGGGTCTGGAAGAACAGGCAAGCAAAAGTGATCATAAGCCTGCTAGCAGAAGAGGATCACCTCATCCACATAAGAAAGGAAAGTTAGAGGTATGTGAACTGCACTACAAAAATTGCATGAGTGTTGAAACCCAAACAGTAAACTATATCTGCTATGCAAACTACATAAGATGAGGCTAGAAAAATACTGGGAAATGTGCGAACCTGAGAATGCCATCCTAGGACGCAGAACAGTGATTGGAGAGAAAATTAAAGACAACCGTGTGATGGTGCTCCTGCTATGCAGCCTTCCAGAGTCATATAATGCCCTTTTTAATGTTTTAGAAGGAAGGAAATATGCATAATGAAGAGAATGAGAAAGTTCTTAAGGTGAATGAGGGCACAAAGCAAAGAAAAGAAAGCAGAATTTGTTTCCAATCTAAAAAGACTGGTCACCTGAAACAAGAACTGTTCACTCTGGAAAGCCGAGAAGCGAAGACAGGGATTGTCCACAAGAGAAAGAA